TTATATGAAAATCTAGATTGGTGGGACAATAAGGGCTTTAATTTTGGTTCCTTTGGGTTTAGACTAAACCTATTAGTTTACTTAAGGTCTTAAAGAGTTAAATCAAGCCTCTAACCCTAAGTTTATGAGTTTTATAGTGATTAAAAATTTTTAGTAAGGGTTTGGACGAACTCTAAGCATAATTTGATGATTTTGAGACAATGTGGGATATTGGTTAGTGATTTTGGTGTGTGGGGATGTTTAATAAAATGGTTAGAGTGTTTGGGAATGGTTGATGTTGTTAGAAAAGGAATTTAGGTATTATAGGCAATTAGAACCTAGTGAATTCAGGGTTAACTAGAGTGATAATTGATGATTGTCACTTGATTCTGTAGATTGAGTGTTACTTGAGCCATATCGTGCGTATAGAACATGTAGAGTTAACATTGAGTCATGGTAACCCTTTTATGTGATAAAGGTTAAGGTAACCATATAGTTTATGGTGTTTATTAACTATTATAACTGTGTAGAAGTAAATACAAAGTGATGAATTTGTTGTTCAAGAATTTTATGCATGATTTGATATTGAAAAATGATTTTAGTATGAACATTGGTTTGTGAAATGGATTTCAAGAAGTCATTAATTTCAATGGATATGTATATATATGTATGATATGAAAGTAAATGTGGTGGAAATGTGGATAAGCAGTGATAAGTGTGAAAAAACATGATCATAGTAGGTGAGAGTTTACCTAAGATATGTGGGGATATTGTGTGTGGAAATATATGAGTGAAAAATTCACATGGTTGAGCTAGCATCATGGGACATCTGGTGCAGCATTATATAGGACTATTACTATGGGATATCCGGATAGTCTGGCAACTCTCTAGTACCTGTTAGGGTACGATTAGGAGTCAACGACACCTCTATCATAAGTGTGTGAAGAGGAAAAAATCATAGTCCATAGGTGGGTTAGATTACTTTTGGCCAGGTATTTCTACCATCGAAAGTGGGCTCAGGTTAATAAGTGGTTGACCCAAGAGAGCCTATAGTTTTATATTGGAGAGCATTGGAGGTTCGATAGTTAAGTGATCATACTAGTGTGAAATTGTATAAAATTATTATGAAAAGATGCACTTATTTTATAAATATAATATACTTAATATTACCTTAGTTTTGATACTTTATCATTGTTATTTGTGGTAATAAGCATTTAATGAACTATATTAGTTACTGAGATGTTTATCTCATCTTGTGGTTATATTTTACAAGTGAAAGCTCCAGTAAGGGTAAGGAAAAGGAAGTGGCATTTAAAGAGTAAAGAACATAGTCGTATAGCTCTTGCCTTTCCTCTTTTTGGGTATTGTAATGAATATTGTCAATATATAATGCCAACTTACGAACATGACATTATTTTTAGATATCACTTGTATGGATTTGTTATAAGTGTGCGTTTCTTGATCTAAGATTAATGTAGTAGATTATATGTGTGTGTTAGGCCAAGTTACAATTACAAGTGATGAATTTGAAGTAAATTATATGCCAAAAATGATCAAGTTGATGTGTGTGCTAAATACAGTTTACCTCTTTATGTTATTGTCAAATGGGTGAGTGTAATTGCTTATTTGTGTGATATAAATGAATTCTCATGTTATGTGTGGTTTATTTGAGGTGGTTGAAGTGTCTCTGGGGCTAATGGCATTTGGTATTATGAGTTGGACACCTTTATGTGTGTTTTGAGGTGAAAAGGAACCATTTTAATTTTGGGTGTTCATCTTTTAAATGGATGATTGTTTGAATATGATACTAGTGCCATTAGCTAAAGGGCTCAAAGAGTTTCGTGTGGACACTTGAATCTCCCAAATCGGATGTCGGATGGCAAAACGGCATGCTCCAGAAATTCGAAGGGCTACATGATAGCAATCTGCTATCATGACAGTAGGTGCGTGCCGCGGCATAAGGGGCCTTTAAGGGACTCCTCCCTCTATGCCATCTGTCACAGCGGGTGTGACTTGCACTGCAGTGGACTAACCAGAATTGTTGAAAAGTGGCTTGTTTTAGCCTAATTTGACGTAGTTTGATTTTCATGCTTTTGTATTTGTTCTAAATTAATTTTTAACCATGGTTTGAGCTTAAATAATATTTTAAAAAGGGTTTTCTTAGAATTTTAATGTTTTAAACTAATTATCTTTAAACCCTTAGGTTGTGATAACTTCTTTATGAGATTTTATTTAATTCTAGTTATCACAACGATGTGTATAAGCGTTGTCCTGATAATGTTGAGGCAAACATTACAAATGAACCTAAATGGGGGATACTTGTTGGCTATTAAGGCTAGTAGGCACAAGCTGAGGTGATGAGTGAATTCTTACCAAAGCGCATAACAAGTAGGCCGAGACAAGTAGGGTTTGGCTCACCGAAGTGAGGTGTTGCATTAGCCGGTGAGTGATGCCTTAGTGTGCAGACCGGTATGAGTTGTATTGTAGGTTGGGGCAAGTGTACCTCGAGGTTGAAACAAGGAAGTACCTTCTATGAGCCGTAATTATATGATTATTCTAATTTGATAATAAAGATATATGGGATTTAGGAGCCTTATTTAAGGATAGTAAGTCTTAAAAGCTAGCCTAATTTGTTAAATATAATGCTATGTGGTGTGTTGGGAATAGTGATTGGGGTTGTTACACTTGTACCTTGACCCTTCTTATGGCATCATCATAACCGAGGTTATTCCCAATGGTTATTACATTTTACAAGAGCGGGTCTAGTCAAAAAAGCACTTGAGGCTTGGACTGGTGTATAAGACCCCAATTTATCTTGTTATGCCTCATTTTATTATTTAATGTATATTTGCCAACTTAGAACTCATTTTGTTGAATTAGAACATCTTAACTTTTGACTTTTGTTAAGCTCTTTTAAGCTAGGATTTGTGTCAGACACTCGTGGCCTCATTTGATAAATCTAAAATGTTTAAATTATATTTGGAGAGGAGATGATATTTTATTAAGTATTGTTATATAAATTATGTTAGATGATTGTAACCCAACTATAGACTTAAATTGCTTGTAGTTGATGATAAGAGTTTTATATGATATTATGAATAATGGTGTTGTGGTCAAGTGGTTCACTATAAGTATTGGCTTTGGTTTGAATTGTGAAGTTTAATGTTTGAAGAATGTTTTTTGGGCCTGAATTGGGTCTTGTGGATAAAGTTTTTCATTTGAAAGCGTTTGTTTATTAAACTAGAGCCAATGTTAAAATTTTGCTATATGCTTTTAGGGTGGACATTTAAATCATTCATTTTAAATATTTCAAAAATAGTGACATGATATTCTAGATTAAGCTGTCCTTAGGAATTCTTATTTCAAATTATTTATATTTTATTACAATAAGTGGATTTTAAATTAAAATTGTTTAGAAATGGGATCCCATTAAGTGAACCTTTTTGTCTTAATAAACTATTTTTTATCACGGTAGACTTTGTCTACTAAGTTAAATCTTTTTTATCATAGTAAAATCTTTTTTATCATGATAGTTGATTTTAAAACTTGTTTTACTTACTTAAGAGAATTTTTTTTTTCCTATCATGGTAAAGTTTATTTAAGTAGATTTTATTCTCTTCTACTATGATGGCATTTTTTTTTTAAAAGATAGTTTTTGTTCTTTTTATTATGGTAGACTTTTTTATACCATGTTAAGTTTTTTAAAGATAAGTTTTATCATTCAATTAACATGATAGACATTTAATTATCATGATAAAGTTTTAATAAATATTATTGTTTTAAAAAGTAGAATGTTACACTGACCATCTCTCCCTCTCGCCGACCCTATCCCTCTCTTACTGTCTGGATCAAAGAAGTTACCTCCATGATTCTCTCACGTCCTTCCCCTTCTTGACCAACTTTGACCGCCAAGCAACCTTTCCGAATCCCTTGTTGTCTCTTCCCATGATGATGTCAGAACTAGAAGCTCTTAAGGCTCTTAGGTTTCTCCACCACCCATGTTTTTAAATCCTCAAAAAAAGACCTGAACTTTGCACTTGTTTCCCGATAAAACAGGAAAAAAAAAAAACTGGTGTCTAAGATGAGTATCTCAAAGACCTCGATGCTTTGATCATGGTTGGTGGCACACCGCAGGGAAGAAGCGCAGACTTAGACACACAAAGTAGAGAATATATATATATATATATATATATAGGCTAGAGAGAGCAAGGAATGGGGGCATTTTACAGCTTTACAAGTAACCAAGCAACTAGCAATCAAAAGCATGTTAAGTTTTTGACTAGGTGATATTAATGGATTGGTTTTGAGTATTCAAACTCAAACTAATAGAGTCAAAAGTCAAATACAAAAGCTTCCAACGCTTGTATTTGGTGCTGGGTATGGCGGTGGTAGCACTTCATTTTTCTTTGGGACATTGGTTGAGGTCTTGGTCGTCACTTGAAGAAGCTTCCATGGTTGTTTCAGTCATCGATTTGGTCTTGTAATCATTGTCATTGGTCTTCCTTCCCGCCAGATCATTGTTCAACAACGGTTCATTTGACTTCCTCATTGAAACTTTAAACAAGTCTTTGGGAGCTCTCTGAAGCTCAACAGTTCTAATGCACTGGTATTATTTCAGAGGGAAGAGGTCATTTTTGTTCACATTGTTGCAAAAACTAGATGAAGAATGGCTGAAGGAACTGATGAGAGGAGGTCAGGGAGGGGAAGAGAAGAAATAAAGGGACATTAGTTGAAAATAAATGGGAGGCATTAGATGTTTTGTTTTTTATAGTTTAAAATTTATTTTACACCACCTCATATTATAGGCAACTAAATGCTCATTAAAAAATAATTCATGATTAAATTTATAACTTTACCCTTAAATATTCTGTTATGTACGTAATTCCGTTAATTCTGTTGATAAGTTTGTAAAATTAAAATAAAGACTAACAGCTAAACAGTCTAAAAATAGAGGCACTAGTAGTTATATTTTCCCAACTAAATAATATTTCCAAAAAAAAAAAAAAAACTTAACAGCGATGTTAAACAACAGTTATTCATCGATAAAAAAAGACCGTAACAGAGATGAACAGCATGATCATACCGACCATGATTATGGTTCAGAGCCCTGATGATCAATACAAATATACAAGACACTCACTACAAGGTCAGTTTGTTGACAACAAATGTACAACAAGGACATAACAAGTGAGTCTCTTTTAAGGTTCGACACCACAAAATTAACTACATAAAAGTAAAAACACACCCATGTTACGTTTTGATTGGACATCCTAACAGAAAACACCAGGAAACCTTTTATCTAGTTTTGTTCACAGCTAAATTTAAGGAGATGAAACGGGTCCTAGATAATCCCCTTCCAAACTGACCAATGCCTGAAATTCCCTGTCTGCCTCCAGCCACTTCGTCCCAATAACAACAAAGCGAACCACAACATCTTTTCCAATCTTGGACATTTTATCATTCAAGAAGTAAGGATTTTCACCGGGCACGTAACGGTAGTCAGGCATCTTCAGATTTGAGAGATACAGACTCTCAACAGGTCCACATCTCAAGAAAACCCCGTGCTTCAAAACCTTGTGGACTACACCCTCCAATATCTCTCCCCTGCAGATCTTGAAAGTAAGAGCACTGAAAACAACAGGAAAAAGCACATCCCCAGTATGCTGCCTTACTTTTCCTTCTCCTATTCTCTCGAGTGTGGTCACAGCAAGATAGTACCCCAGATCTTTAGTTGCCTTTTTCACAGCAAAGTCATCCAGAAGGCGGATGATTATTGACCGTTGAAGCATCATACCACATGCTTCTAGGCTTTCTGGGGAAAGTATGACATTCCAATGCAGCTGTACTTTGAGAAACATTGTTTTCTTTGTTTCTTCGCCCTTTTAATTCCTTCACTCATAGCATAAAAAAGATATTCCAACGTCAGATTACATACTTTTATTAGTTTCCAAATTCTAATGCCTAAATATTCATCATATTGGGAGTTTGTTGTATGAATCAATCTGGAGAAATAATAAACTAGTTCAGCTTGATCATAAGAGACTAATATCCTATTTACTAGGCGATGCTGGAAAGTTCCTACTTTACAAATTGATGACCTATATTATACAGGTTTGCCTTCATAGTCCATGACTTCCCAAACATACGTTCATTATATATGACACTAGTCTTAGAAATAAGTGTAACACACATTACGAAAACTACCCTTTAGCTGGGCCAGCAATATTTTAATTGGATTAGTCAGTAATATCAATTATATGGGAGAAATCTAAAATTTAAGCTTATATACTTAATAAATTTTTCCCAATCAAATAAAATCAAGTGGATTTTAAATTCTAAAAGTAAAAAATATTAATAACAAGAGTTGGCTACTGGTAAATCAAGCATAAAAAAAAAATTACAAATGTCCCAATTTGATTAGAAAAAGTACTTTAAGCATATAGGCTTGAGCACCTAAGATTTTTCCTTATATATGAAGAAATAAGCAAACTCTTTTATTCACACCACCATGTTCATTTGAAAAGAAATTGTCCGCCAATGATATAAATTGTAGCTAAAGTTACAGTGATATAGGCATCCCCTATAACTAGCACTCACTTAAGTTGCCTGATTTAATAACTCACGCAGATATGTCAAGATCATATTCAGCTTCCGCATATGTCATTAAAGTACTGATACACTCTTTCCCAAGACAAAGATGCAAAAAGCCTTGACTCAACAAATCAGCAATTGGAATCTCAACTTCTAAACAGTCAACGCTGAACAAATAGCTAGCAGATAAAGGAAGCATAAATAGCAGTAATAATTCATCTAAGTGATACACAAATGGAAAAGGTTTGTTCAGCAAGATTAGACATATTTCTGAGATATAGGAAAAAGAAAAAAAAATTCAAAGAGAAGTTGCAAAGTTATAAGTCCTGTAACAGAAGTTCTTCTGAAACTTCCTAATCATGCTGGCAAAGTTGTAGCTCTCTCCAAAACTACGGTGTCTGTGTTCTCACAGTACTTAATTTTATATACACTGCTAAATTTTAAAAGACCAAAAGAACAGATACACTAATACAGATTAACCTACTAACACCGCTGGTAATACTACTATTGATGTGGTAAACATGGGGTTAAAAGACACAGAGGCTATTAAAAAGTCCTCCATCATCACTTTTTACAAAGTCATACCAGACAGGCAAAGGATAAAAAAATCTTTTTAGGAGGAAGAACAGATAGAGGTGAGATTACACCAATACAGACAACAATCCTTAGCTGCCCAATTCAACTATATACTCAGTAAACCTTATTTGGCATTACCAGGGGCACCACAAATTGAAAAAACGGGCTTATGAATTAGCCCTGCATTAAGGAATAAAATCACAACACAGTCTTTCATATTTCCTTACTGAATACTTATGCTCAACCTAGGAAATCACTTATGACAGAAATTGAGTCCTTCAGTGCTAATGATACAACTGAGCCTTCTATTATTGCAGAGGATTGACTGATCATCCTATCTTCTACAACACTAAACAAATGCCTGAACGTTGTTGCATTACAGGCATTACATGGGCTGTAACATTAGGCCAGGTCGTGGTTTCCTCTTTACCGTAGGCCAACAAAACACACTATTTATACCACTCTTGTGTCTACCAATTTATAGGTATAATTAAACCAGTAGATTTGTTTTTCATGGTCAGCCTTTGAAGGAAATAGTTTGAATTTCTAAGTTCATATGCTGGCATGATACAAAAGGAAATAAAATTAAAAATTTTGTAATTAGATTTTGTGTTGTGGCTAGGATGTAGTGATGATAGAATTAAAAGGAAAAGGTAGTTTAGCCATGAGAGTTAGAAAAAAATGCTTTGTGCAAAAGGTGTCATGCCAACTCAGCATTGCGGAGAGATCATGTCGATGTGTTTGATTAAATGCAATTGAAGTTGTTCACACATTTTGTTGTGAACCAAAGATTCATCACTGTGCTGAGAAGATAATTGCCCATTATCCGCATAACAACATCCTTCCAACATTACCGTTGAAAAATATTGCTATGTACACCATATATTCTAGTATGACAATTGAAAATTCTAGATAATTAATGTTACCACTTCTCAGTCTCACCTTTAAATTATTGCTATAATTTTCTTGACGAAAGCAAATAAGGTACACTATTCTCTAACCATAATTTATATAATTTTCTTTTCCAAATGCATATATTGCTAATAAAATATCACTGACAATAGCTAAAAAAAGATCCTTCAAAACTAAAGTTGCTTAAATTGTATTTGAAATTAACTATATTACAAAATAGACCAAAAATATTAAATATATTATAGTTAAATGTTAGAATTACTTGATTGTATAACTTTGCAAAATGATTTCACAGTACCAAAAGCTACAAGAATCATGTGAGAATGCAATCTCCTCCAATGATTTTGGCTAAAGCCCGGAAATTCTATACAAGACCACCACGTACAAGGGATCCAATTAGTTGGGCGAAATTTTAGCAGAGAAATGGAAAACAGCCTCCTTGATAAAGAGACATTTGCACGGAATTCCCAGAAGAAGTGAAGCAGATTGAAAATTTATTTGCTTCCATTGAACATTAAAATATTTGCATGCATTGGTGAAGAGAACTTAAATATTGTCAGCATTTCCATGGATTGAAAAATTATTTGCAAAGAAGAAGCACAACAGATTTGCATAGCCGAGCATCAGTAAATTGTACAATAAAACGAAAATCGTTGCTCCACACAAATGAAGTAGCCAAAGAGAACAACTATAATCACGTCATTGAAAGGTTGGATAAAAAGAGAGTTTTCCTATATTAATATAATCTGCCTCTGGCCAAAAAGGAAAAAGAGAGATTTAGGCGTATAAATCCGAACCTTAACGGCAAAAACCTCGCCCCTAGCTCTCCGTAGTCGTTATCGCCAAAATCTTGGCCCTCGCCACCGATTTTCTCTCACCTCCGTCACCGCCGGCAATGTTTCCCTCTTCTCCTTCAAGTATTCAGCTCTCAGTTGCCGGCTACGCGTGCTGCCCCAAGAAACATCACTCCCCCCTGGCCCCACCAAGCCCTCGTTCACCCTATGCAACTGCAACCTAATTCATCCGGCCAAATATGAGATGATCGGTTTAAAAAATGAAACTACATAATTGCCAACATCGCACCGGACGTTATTTGTTGAGGCTTAAATATTGTTCCATCTATTGCCCATATATATATATATATATATATTTTTTTTTTTTTTTTACCACAGTCCATCATTAATCAATTGCATTATTTCTTCATCAAAATCAGTTAATTTCATTTTTTTTTTAAGTTCCATCCAAAGTACCATTTAAACAAAAATTCAGGAAAAAGAAAACACATTCAAAGAATTAAGCCAGACACATGGATCCCATGAATTCAATAAAATACTGTTTACTATATAACTACACGCTTGTTTTAGTTTATTTTATAAACAAATTATTTATTTTTAAAATTTGTGTGGTGTTTGCTCAAAGTTTTAAAAATAATCAAAATATAAAAAATAAATTTTTAATTATTTTAAAAAGATACTTGAAATAATTTAACATGATAGATAAAAAATATTTTAAAAAATTGAGTATGTAAAAATATTATAAAATTCTAAAATAGAAAAATAATAAATTATTTTTATAAAAAATTAAAAAATAACTAACTAATAATTACTTTTTATTATTTTAATCAAACATAAAATAATACTTGCTTTTTATAAAATTTTTATAAAATAAACATATTTTTATAAAATCTCTAAATTATGTAAAATTTACTTTTTTTTTTAAATTTTAAACAAACAACCATAAGGTAAACCACTTTCGTTTTGTACGCAATTTATATATCAATGGTACTAAAATTATTAAATATATATGATCAATGTATTAAAGTAATTTTTAATAGTTTTTTATTTCAATAGATTCAAAATTTAAATAAAGATAATTTTTTTAATTATCAGTATGTGGTAATTAATAAGTTTAAATTTAAATCATATAAATGACTATTCAAAGTATTGCCCATCACTATAACAAACAACATATGATGAGCATCCAAATCGTGTGTCCCTTCCGTTACACGATTTGTACTCCGCCTAGCAAATAATACATTTGCATGAAAAAATTCCGCATGCATAACTTTTTTAATAATTATGTTTTTTTTAATACAATTATTTAAAATTTAATTTATATTTTTAAATATGTTATGCCAAATTTACAAGATAAAAAGCATCTGCTATTCATTAGATTCTAAGAACTTTCAAGATCAACATAAAATGTAAAAAGACTAAAGTTGCGTTTTTGAAAACCTCACGTTGCAACAGAGTAAAGGCACGTGCTATTTGATTGAAAAATGGTGACAAGGAGTTTTTCAAAAAATAATTAGTATCAATTCCATTTTAAACATTTATTACAGGACAAGACTTATATACTTAATATATTTTTATCAAAACATCTAAATTTTAATATATTAATAATATTAATATTAAGAATTTATTATAAAGTGAATAAACTATAATAAATATACATGTCTTGATTTAATTAAAAATAATTACTTAAAATATATAAAGTTAAATATATAAGTTTTTACCTTTATTTGTATTAGTTGAATTAAATGTTAGGCAATAATTGAGATAGAAAATAAAGTCATTCTACCGTGCCCTTTGGAATTTGATAGGCATGAAATTTAGATTCATCAATATCCCATCTATCATAACTTGATCCAATGTCTATAATGTTAATTTCAACCAAAAGATATGTATAAAAAAATATTGTTTTGAAGAGGACAACTTCTTAAGTGTTCAAATTTTTTTAAGGGTTAGTTTCATAACTATGGGATGTAAAGATGCCTTAAACAACCAAAAATTTTATGAGTCGAGTTTCTGCCAAGAAAAATTGTGATGGACTTGAGATTGCTTTACATCAATTTGTAAATTGAAGAACATGGACAAAGGTTCTCTTGTTTTTTTTTTTTTTAATAGTTAACCTTATCCCCGTAAGGAAGGATATCTCACACACCCACCCCTCACACATATTTCCTCTCTTTAGCCATAATAGAAAATTGATCCTAGCGCCTCTTGTTACAAGAGATGGGACCATAAAAATGCCAAGAGTGCCACGAGGCTAAAACGTCATTGGCACAAAGGTTCTCTGCTACAGGCAAGTTGTAATATTTAATTTTTTCATAATAAATAAATTATAAAATTTGAGTTTTATCGAGGTTTTAAAATTCAAAGTTTATATTTTTTTTGGGTTTAAATTAAGGAATGAATTTATATTTGAGGTTATTTATATATTTAAGTATTTAAATATGGAATAAATTGAGTTTAGAAAGTTTATATAAGAGATGTTTATTAACTTAATTTAAATATAATTTGAAGATAAGATAAAAAAACAATAAAATATTATATAAAATATAATTAATTAATTAATTAAAAAAAGAGAGAGAAGAAGCAGCACCAGACTTTGCGTGCATATAAATACATATATTTAATATATCAAAAACCCAAAAAAAAAAAGGTAGAGAGAATAGAAAGGGAATATGCTGTGGAGCTCACATCTATTTTAATATTATATCCCATCTCCCTCCACCCTTTCCGTTTCCGCTTCATCGTCTTCTTCGTCTCTTCGCAGCGTCCGCCAATTTTTTAGGTAAGGTGTTCAAAATTATTTCCATTCTTCAAATTTTTTTATAAATATTTTTTACTCATCAAGAGCAGCATTTTTTTGATGACTAGAGTAAATTTTTTAATTAAAATTTTTATATAAGATAGTTAACTGAAAGTTATGAGGATTTAAAAATAAATGTTGAAGTTGTCAGGATTATAATAAATGTTATAAAATATTTGTTTAGAGTTGGAATTTGAATTTGAGGATTTTGAGTTAAATTTTAAACTCGGTTGAATCTGAACCATTGGGGGCAAATTTTTGATGTCCAGATATTTATTTAAGCATAGATAAATATTTTTAAGGTATTGAAATGTTGATTTGGTGTTTGAAGAAAATTGATAATTTTTGAAGGTGTTTTTGGATGAATTTTTGAATATATGATGATAAAATATTGATGTTAAAAGTGATTTGAGGATTAATTAAAGCTAGTAAATGTAAGAGGATTTTAAAGATAATTTTTGGAAGGATTACAATAGATACTAACCTTAATTTAACAGTAAATACTGGTCTTAAGCTTAAAATTTTTTAATTATTTAAATTAGAGTTATTTATTAATTTTAATGTAAAATTAATATATAATATTATGAAATAATTGTATAGATTGTATTGACAAATAAAATAGCGAAAGAGAAGTTGTGAAGAAAATCTTGTGTTTCATTTCAAAACACAAGCAAACATGATTAATGTGTAGTGATGGGTGGTGTGTGATTGGTTATGTATTATTTGTTATTTAAAAAATTATAATTTATTTAAAAATAAATACTTGCATATATTTGTTTAGAGTTATTGTCAAGTAGGTTAAAATTTATATATGTGTATTATGATGATACTATTGTTCGGTTATATTTTCGTTCAGTTGCTCGCATGATTTGTAAGAATATTTTAATATATGGTATTATTGAAAATTTCTATTTGGTTAATTATTACCACATGATAAGTCGTCATTGGACCCAATGAGCGCCACATAACTTAGTCCAACTCATCTTTGATTAGGTGATTTGACATCTAGGCAAAGTAAAAGGAGAATATAAAGTGTAGTCATGTAATTAAATATTTGTTTGTTTTGTTTGAAATTTTATTCAGTTAAATGTTTTTATATGTCTACTTAGCAATTATATGATTAGTTATATCTTCATGCATCATTGCATATTAATTTTTGATTATTGAGACTTTTAAATCTTATTCCCTATAGTTAATATTTTTAGAGGAACAAGTTTGGCCAAGAGAGCACTAGAGGCATAAATTTTGGTGTATGGAGACACCACTTTCTTATTGTCTCTTATTTTGATTTATGTAATGTATATTGTGCTAACTTAAGACATATTATGTTGTAGGGCATATAGTTTCTAAACTCTAATTTGACATATCTATATAGTCAAAAGGATTTTGTTTGTCCCTCTTAATTTTTGATTTGATTTAAAGGTTATATTATGAGGAATTTGTATGTCTCCTAAGGCCTTAGATGCAAAATATTATGCTTGACTATAAGGATCTTGTCTATCCCTAATGGCCCCAATTACTTTTTGGATATTATTGATATAACTAAATCACTTGTAGGTGTTGATTAGTTAGTAAATATGTATTTATGCTATGGATAAGTGCACATTCTCTAACTATTTTTAATAGTAAATAAGTGTTGAACTATGATGACTCTTGTGTGGACTTACTTTGAGTATTACTAAGCATATTGTTGCTTAAAAAATATTACAAAAATTACAAAAAAAAATATGGTAATGATTATGATTTATACTTAGGTCATATAGTTATACCAAGAATTTATTTTTATTAATTGTTTAGGATTTTGTTACCTTAAAATAGGCTTTTGCACTAAATTTTGATTTCAAAATTATTTTATTTGATGTGAATAGTTTCACATTGTCTTTCATTAAGCAAATTTTTATTTTAACAATATTTTAATTATCATAATAGAGTTTATTCATTATGTTAAATTTTTTTTACCATAGTAGGTTATTTGTAAAATATCTTATTTATATGATAAGTTTTTTTCTATTATGGTAAAATTTTAAAAAAATATTTTGTTATTTATCGTTATAGTATAACTTTTTCTACTATAATAAAGGTTTAATAATGTAAAAATAACTTACTAAATTTATAATTTGTAAAATACCGATTGAAAAATTTAGTGTTACACAACTAAAATATCCTTCGGCCACACGAAAAAAGTACTCATAACATACACATGTCAATATTTTTTTTTCCTAAAAAACCAAATATTTAATCAACAATTACATTCAAGACGTTTTTTTTTAAGTTTAAATTGTATGAATTGGATAAAATTTGTGATGAGTTGCATTATTTATAGTTGTGGGTATTATTTTAAGAACCACAAAGTCAAACCGATTGAATTGTCCACAGCTCTTGTAATATCTTAGGTTTTAACGATCAAGTAATGACTTAATTATAAAAAATTTTGAAGCATATGAATGGAATTTTGAGACATGTGAAATTATTGTGTATTTATTGAGA